ACTTCACTCAACGAGTGCTAAAAAACAACTGACTCACTACAGTGAGATGTACCACTCTAAATAGAATGGGAGAACAATGACTAACATTTTGAAAATTATAAAAGTTCGAAAACTATAAAAATTCTAAAACCAAAAGTAGCAGCCCTTTTAAGTCGCTAGTGAAGTGGCTATGCTTTGCACGCAAAGTTCATTTTTTTGTGTTTTTTAAATATCGAAAAAACAAAAAATTTGAAATTAATAAAAAACTTACTTTGAAAATAAGAATGAGGTGGCCAAGTTGACCTCGAGAAGCAGTGCCACGTCATCAGAGCTACCTCTTGCCGGCAGCAAACATTTGGACCAAGGCCGATGATTTTCTTTCTTTTTCTTCAACCATTTTATCTTCTTTCTTTCTCTAGAGAAGAGAGCACTGGTTAAGGCCATCGTCATTCAGGATTGCCGAGGGAGACGCCCAGATTACTCGGAGGCATCTCCCCCGTACAAGATGCGCTGGGCGGTGGCCTCCTCCATCTGCAAAAAAATATTTTAGAAAATTGAATAAACATTAAGTTCGAAATGAATGAAAAAATACTTACTTTAAAGAAGAAAAAGAATGAGGTGTCCACGCTGACCTTGCAAGGCAGTGCTACGTCATCGGCCACTTTTCACTTGCAGCCGTCTTTCTAGGTACGTGGTTGCCGCCACCAAACTTGAAAGTGGCATAAAGTCAACTTTTGTTTTCAACCATTTCATCTTTTTCCTCCTCTTGAAAAGGTGGCGCTGGCTGGCACCATTGGCAGCCAGGTGTGCAGAGGGAGACGCTCCGTTAACTCTGAGGCATCTCCCTCTTGGCTTTATCACTAGCCTCACAAGTCTTGTAGAGGGATTGGGGGCGCCACGTCATCTGCCATTTCTTGCATCATTAACAGACATTCGGACCTAGGCCCATGATCCTCTTCTTCTTTTTCTTCTTCAACCATTTTATCTTTTTTCTTCTTTCATTTTTTTGCAAAGTTGAGAGAGAGAGAGAACAGCCTTGAGAACTTTACTCAGCGAGTGCTAAAAAGCAACTGACTCACTACAGTGAGATGTGCCACTCTAAATAGAATGGGAGAACAATGCTTGACATTTCGAAAAATATAAAGTTCTAAACTTAAAGTGGCAGCTTTGCCAAACCGCTGGTGACGTATTATTGTTCAATTGCAAAATTCGAACACTTTGTAAATGCTTTATAAATTGTTCTTTTTTATATTAAAATTTAACTTGGACTATTTATGCTTGCTTTCACTCTCACCCTACGTTTCTCTACGTTTTTATTAAAAAACTGTTATGTTTGTTCCTTATTTTTATTATTGTTTCATTTCCGCACTTAACATTTCAATAACATTAACACACTTTTTAACTTTTTTTTTATTTATCAGCTTGTATTGTTGTTGTCGTTTTAAGTTCTTTACAAGTAATTGTTTTGCTTCAGCAAATTATTAAAACTTTTTGTGTCACTTTTTCAGTGCAAATGACGATTAATGTCAGTTTTTGACAAGTGCAATTGATTTTGTGTAAACACCAAACGCAAAAAAAATTTACGAGCACTGGTGTCTAAAATTTGTTTTTGATAGTAAATTAATAACACAACTTTCGATTTTTTTTCAACTCAAAAATAAGGTCACAACGACAACCAATATGAGCAAGTGATATGATTGTCATTTTTTCTGTTTTTTTCTTTTCTTTTCTTTTTATCTATCTCTTTCTGCTTGTTGTTTTTGCACACACTTTCTCTTTTAGTCTGACTCAACGTCAACTTGGTAAAAAATTGCTCATTTTTGTGAAAATGCGTGTAACCTTTTCACCAAATAAAAAAAACTTCACTCACTGTCTGAAGATCTGCTCCTTTTACTATCAATTTCTGTACTATCAAGAACTGGTGGAGCAGTTGTCTCTTTACTACGGCAGCGCCAAAGTTGGCAATGGAGTTATGGATTTTAAGGAGATAACAACTACAGCAACAACAAACAGTCCTAATTTGGCGGAGGCAAGAAATCGTTATCAATCAAACAGAAAATCAGTCCCAATGACCATCAGCACGCCCAAACACATCACCTTCCTGCGACTGCTTTACGGCCTGTTTTTCGTTCGCGGCGTAATCATTGTCTTCTTCAAGGCGGCCACTGACAGCCGCCGGAAGCGGATCCTCCTTGGCTGTGAACACTGGAACGCCATTGCGCCGCTAATGGAGAGCACCGTTTTCTTTTGGTAAGAAAAAGAGGTTTAAAACGATCAACTAAAAGGCACACAAAGGTTGACCTGACCTGACTTAACAATCACTTCTGCAGGACCTGCATCGCCGCCAACTTTGTCCTCTTCACGCTGAGCAACCGCCCGGCGGACTACCAATTTCTGGCGCTCTTTCGAATGACCGATCGTCAGCAGCCTTCTTCAGGCGACAAAACTCAAACACTGTTGCTGCACCCAAAGACAATGGGTCTAAAACGGGCCGACTACCACGCCTTTGACCGCTTCCGCCGCCTGGCTCGCCTCTACTACCACTCCATCGTGGGGTCGATCGTTCCGCTGGGCCACGCGGCGATGATTGCTTTGTACATCCGCCAAGGAATCTACCGCTCCGACCCGTTTTGGGCCCTTCTTTGGAACACCCTCATCAACCTGTGGATCTACCTGGCCACGGCGAGCATCTACACCTTCTTCCTCTGCTTTGCACTGACGGCGAGGTACGTCCAGTTGAAGCACCGAGCGCTGGCCGGCAAGTTGACCGCCGCCTACGCTCGTCTGGTGGCCAATTTCACCACCGCTGCTGGTTCAATTCGAATTAAAGAAAATCAAGAAGGTGGCAGCAGAAGAAGATCGGAAACCTTCTACACTGCCGATCAGCAGCTGTACGGGCGGTATGAGCGAGCGGCGAGGCGGTACAACGCTCTCTACCGGGAGCTGGAGTGCTACAACCGCTTCTGGTCCTTCTACCTGAGCAACGTCTTCACCTTCTACGTGCTGATAGTCGCCTTTGTGGTGTACATCGTCCTCTTCACCACCACCACCTGGTACCTCAACAGCTGCTACGCTCTGGTCTTCGTCAATCACTTCAACTCCATGTCGGCGATGATTGTCATCTGTGGGCTGGTGGTCCGGCAGAATGGACGCCTGGCGGTGAGAAGCGCCGGGCTGACGGCGAGGCTAGTGACCAGAGTTCAAAAAATTAAATCACTTTCAGTAATTCGACTGCTTAAGGTAATCTAGTTAAATGCTGATAATGTTTTGCCTAACTTTTTTACCATTTCACTTCACCATTCACTAACCTAGCTGCACAACATGAACAAGCACCTTTTTGAGGTGTCACAGTCGGGTTTTAAGCTTTCAAATGGTTACCTGATCACGCAGGACACTTTTCGTTTGGTAAGCTAGTTTTCTAGTGCTCTTACTTCATTCATACTTTTTTTAGAGAATTTGTAGTTGTTTCATTAATTTTCAAGAATTTAATGAATTGTTTTTTTTCCTTTTTTCCTTTAGCTATTAATCAATGTGGTGACATTTTTTCTGCTCACAATGAATAATGTTTTAATGTAGAATGAAAAAAGAAAAATTGTTGGCTGGCAAAGTCAGTTCAAAATTGATTAAATGTGCTAATTTGGTGGCAACTAAAATTACGCTTAATAATTCTTATATTTTTACAGCATAATAAATAAAATAATTTTTTAATTGTGAAAACTTGAATAATTACCAGACTAGACTAGATAAAACAAGCAGTTGCAGTCATAATCGTAAATTACTTTTGTCTGGTATTAAATTAAAATATAAAAACCAAACGCAATAATTACATTGTTTCCGGTTACATTTTTTTGCCATAAAGTTAAACTAATTTCAAAAAAATCAACTAAAAACACAAAACGAATAATTTTATTTTCTTTAAATGGAAAACAAAAACATTGAAAAGTCTAACTTGTTAGTCAGTTTTGTAGATATGACACAACTCAAAACACGTGTCAAGCGACTATCCTGTCCTTGGTACACTTTTTCCTGTTTCAAACTGAAAACTACTTGCCCCTCAAATCAAATCATTTGTTTGGGCTTTACTTGCACTGACTTTAGTTAAAAGTGAGACAAACTTGAGAGAGCAGTATTCAATATACTAGCTTGAGACTTGTGTGTGCTTACTACTACTACTGCCACTAAAAACGGCGATTACGGACGCCCGTACTAAAACTGTCGCAACTGTGCGCTAATCAATGCGCTGTGATCTCCTCACATAATTTAGCGATAACGACTGTTTATTATGGAGAAAAAAGCAGTGGTGTCGGTTCCTCTCTTGCTACTAACATTGATGATCACACTGAAGAAGGCAAAGTAACTGTTATCACTTTTTGTTGTCCTTTTGATTTTTGCTCTTTTTATGCATTGCAAACAGTGTAACGGTACTGACAAACAGCAAAACAGCTAAAAACGTGCATTTTTGCTTTTGTTGCTGCTGCTGTTGCCACTGCTGCCGCAAACGATCAACTTTTGACAACAAATGAAAACAAAACATTTCAGTTAAAAGCTTTCTGGTTAGTTTTTTTTTCAAAACCCCCCGCTTTCACAACTGAAAAGAATGGCTTTCATCGATCGGTAATTGATTTGTTTTTAAGTTAAACTCAAACTCACAGTGTTGATTTCCCCCGCTTTTCTTTTCTTTACTTTTCATTTTTTTCAGTGCAACCGAACCGGTCCGGCTGGCAATTGAGACGCAGTACGACCACTTCATCAGCGCCCATTTCCCAAATGAGCAAATCGCCGAGATCGTCATCTCCTTCACTCTGTCCACACTACTTTACTGGGCCCTCGGACTGGCCTTCCTCCTGGTCGACCTGACCAGGCGGCCCGCCTTCATTTACCGCTACAAAATTCAGCTTCAATCTAGTCAGGTGTCAGAGGCGAGGATGTGGACGCTGGTCAGGCAGGTGTTGATCAATCAGTTTCTTCAGCTGTTGGTCTCTTTGGTCATAATTCCCGGGCGAGCCATCCTTTTTCCGGGAATGGTCAATCGACGTGTTCCAACTGTGGGTCGCCTGGTAGTAGACCTGGTGGCGTTTAATCTACTTCGAGAGGCCTCTCTGTACTACATCCACCGAGGCTTTCACCACCCGGCCGTCTACCAGTACGTCCACAAGGTGCACCACCAGTGGCAGACGCCGGTGGCGCTGACGGCCATTTACTGCCATCCCGTGGAGCACTTGGGGCAGAATTTGCTGCCGGTTCTCCTGGGGCCGGCGGTGATGGGCAGCCACAACCTGGTGGCCTACCTTTGGATCGGCTATGTTATCTTCGAGAGTGTCTACCTGCACTGTGGCTATCAGCTGCCCGGCTGTCCCATTTCTCCGGTGTTTCATGATTTTCATCATTTAAAGTATGTCTTTGTGTGTTTGTGAAAGTTTGAGTTCGTATACTTAAATTGTTGATTTTCTTATTTTTTTGCAGATTTAACGTCAATTACGGCGTCTTTGGCCTTTTTGATTGGCTCCACGGAACGGACAAGGCTTTCCGGGAGTCTCCCTTTTACCGGTTGCAGAAGGCGCCGTACTTTAGTTTTACGCCGCCAGCTGAGCTGCTTTACGATGCTGAGAAGATGAAGTAGACATATCAAAGATGCCTGCCTTTCTATTTCAAAAGTTGATTTTACACTGAGCTTAATTACTAAAGTTTTTAATAATTTTTTTATTTTAGAAAAATGTGCATGTTGCGTAGAATAATTAGAATTGAGTTTTCAATTGAAACTTGTGATTAATAAAAATAACAATTTCACATTTGTTCATTTGTGACTGATTTGTTAACCAGTTTTGTTTACCAAAATTTAATTTGCGTTAGTTACTCAACAGTGAAGCGTTCATAATGTAGCCAAAGTAGATGAGAACAAACTAAAGAAAAAATAGTATTAGGACACTTGAGGTCTTTTCAATTCACAATTTACAATTTTTACTAATACCTTTAGCAAATTAGTGCTCTTAATTGCCGCCATCGAGCCCAAGGAAAAGCACTTTCCACTTGCATCATCAGTCAGGTACTCATAAAAGTTCAGTATGCCAAACTTGACCGCCAACACTCCTCGGTGAACTCCTCTTCTTTGGTTTGCAGAACATAAAACTGAAGTTCCACTTGCCAGTATCTGAAAGCGGTCCATCAGTTTTGCCGGCCGCCTAACTGCCTCATAAATGTGGCTCATCGGAAGCGTCGAGGTGAAGAGAATGAAGGTCTGAAAGGCGACCGAAACTTTGTAGTTGGAGGAAACGGCATTGGCCCGCTTGAAGATGACCGCCTGCAGGAGGTAAATGTTGAGCGGAAGGACGGCGGCAATGTAGCCGAACATCACTCGGCTCACCTTCACCCGATTAAAGTACTCCACCGCCTTGGTGTACTCAAAGTGGCGGCGGAAGAGCTGAAAGAGGCTGCCGGAGCTGACGCCGACTACAAACACAGAGGATGACCTTTGACCTTGATCCTTCAACCTGACTAGCTTTGCAGTGTTCTCTCGAAACAGTCGCAGGTACTCGCCGCAAAAAAGCAGCACCGTGTACTCCTCGAAGATGGCACACTTGAGCAGGGTAATGTTGAGGATGATCATCATGCTGCCGTCCAGCAGTAGAATTCCCGTTTGAAGCGAGGAGTACCGTCGAATGAGGGCAAATCGATAGAACTGCAGCTGACGAGAGAGGAGAACCAGTCCAAAGAGGACGAGCAAAATTGCGTGAATTGGCGCTTCGTACTTAAAGAAGAGCTGCAATCCGTTACGTTTTTCAGCACTTAAAGACTTTTTGCTAGGTTTGCCGTCTTCTTTTACTTTATTTTCTTGATCATCAACATCAGCAACCACCTGTTGCTGATCTTGTTGAACTTTTTGTAATTTCATATTAGTTTCCTTTGAGCTGACCACAATTCGCCAGAGCTCTTCTGCCAGTGGCCAGCTCAGCGAGAAGTAGTTGAGGTGGTAGATGTAGAGGACGAAAGCGCCAAAGGCGGCCGAACAGGCGGCCAGATATTGATCATAGGTTCGGCGGGCGTTGAAAGCGTCCATCAGCAGGTCGTACCGGTACAGCTTGCAGTCAATTTGGGCCCGCAAACAGGCCGAAAAAAGGAGAAAGCGAACGATAGCTCCGGCAGTGTACACTTTGAGCAGCAGCTGAAAGGGTGACAGTTTTCGGGTGAGAGTGCTGAGGAAAGTTGAGGGTTGAGGAGGATTTTCCGGTGAAGGTAAAGGTCGGTAAATCCGCTGCAGCTTTTCCACCTCCCTGCTAAAGAGCTGTAAGCTTGAGAAGGCGGAATTTTTGCCGACAACCTTGTCGCTGTCGTGATTAGAGTACTTTTCAAGTAGGCGATGCATTGTCAAAGTTCTGTTAAATCGTTCTTTAATTCTTTTGTTTTTGTTCAGCTTGCTAGAAAGGTTATTGACAAAGTAGCGTTTAGCGCTACAGAACGCCGCCGCCGCTGTGTTGCAAAGTAGTTCAATTTTGATCGATTAAAAAATAATAAACAACAATAAAAAGTTAAAAGTTCGATTTTGTTCCAATTAATTGCAGTTTACGAACAGACAAGTTTGAAACTTTTTGCAGTGAATGTTTAATATCTATTGACAATTTGTGTTTATAATGTTAATTTATGTCACTTTTTGCAGTTAAAGTTTTTAACTCAGTAAAACAATTCTCTAAAATTTTTTGCTTAAGAAGTAATAAGAACTGTGTGCCTGATCGCGCCGCTATTTATGTATTTTTAATTTATGGTATTTACAAATTAAGTACACAAACACAACTGTCAAAACTACTACTACAGTTACGACTGCTCAAGTACTCAGGTTCTGCGGTGCCAGTCAAGCAACCGAGGGTGACAGTTTAAGCTATAATCGATGAAAAAAAAACAAAATTGTGCGTAAAGTTGTAAGCTGCTGAATTTCAAAACTTTACTTTTGTTTTCCTTTGTTTTCCTTTTTTGTTTTGAATTCAGTCATGCACTAGTGAGTGAGTGTGTGTGTGACAGGAAGAAAGGAAGGAATGACAAGGATAACAGACACGCAGGTATAATTAATAGTTAAAAGTTTAAGTTTACAAAACTTTAATAGTTTTATTGTATTTGAGAGTAGCCCTACTGCAGGTGAGTGAGTAAGTGCAATTATTAGGAAATTCAGCAGGTTAAGTTTGCTGTTCAACTGCTGTTGTGCAAATTTGCTGTTTTTAATCAAAACAGATTTTGTGCGTGTGTGTTCAATTTTTAGCGTTTGATTAGCAGGTAAATGTAACAACAAATAAACGGTGTTTTTAAAAATATATTTTTTAGTTTCAGTTGTACCGAGATTTTACTTGCAATAAAGTGTATGTTAAAAATACAGCATTTTAATGCAAAACTAGCAATAGCATTAGTTAAGAAGTAGCACTAAAGTAATCAGTAGGCAACCACTGTGTACAATGTACAGTTTTGCGTTCAACAGACTGAAATTTACACGTGAAAAACATTGCAATGTAAAATTTAAATAAATTTAAAAAGTAGTTCAAACAATCAAGAATAAATCAGTGTACAATTGCTGCCCGGAGCATTTATTGAGAAACATACTAAACAAAAAAATGTACTTTTCAATAGGTATTTTAAGCAAAAGCTGCCATTAGTGTTTACTGTAAATGAACTGCAGTGAAAACATTATGTACCCAAGGTAAAGGAAAACAAACTGCAAACACAAAAAAGAAGACAAAATTAGTTAAAACAGCTAATCAACGATAAAAAACCCTTGGTTACTCTCTTACATTAAAAATGGCAAACTTAGTAATCGGCCCAATTGAACCGACGGTGAAGCTGATTTTTGCGTTTGAGTGCACTAGCTCGTAGTGAACCAGCAGTTTAATCTTCAGTCGCAACGATCTTCCTCGTCCCTTTGGTCTTTCAGTACACCTTTGTCCTGAGGTACCTGAAAACCGTTCCCAATTACCACCACCACCACCACCACCACCACCTAGGGCCATCTGCCCGGCCACCAGCTGCGGCGCAAATCGGTGCAGCGTTTCGCTGGTGTACGCCACCGTCGCCGCGGCGATCATCGCCGCAACTATGTACACCGCCAAAAAAGCGACCACAACGGCGGTGTCCACGTGCAGTCGATCGGCGTTTCGGTAGACGAAGGCAATGAAGTACACATTGAAGGGAATGTTCCCCAGGAAGAAGACGAGAATGACGCGGGAGAAGAGGGCCGAGTCGGCGATTTGAATTAGCCTGACCAGCGCGAGGTGCTCTCGCCGGAAGCGGGCTAGCTGCAGGCAGAGCACCGCCTCTCTGTACAACGGAAGTGGCTGAAGTCGAGCTGAGCTGCTTCGAGGCGACGGAGATTGGCCGACAATAGAACAGATCTCATCCTGGGCTAGCTGTGCCAGAGATGGCGAGGTCCTTCTTTTTCGCCTATGGTGATCATAAAAAGGATTTGAAAAGTGTGAACAAGTGGAGGAGCTGTCTTTGAGCGATCGAAGAAAGCGACGAAGCTCTCGGGCGGTGGCCACCACCACAAAGCAGATCATTCGCAGGAGGAAGGTGAGCATCAGCAGCATCTGCGCGCAGTTGGCCACCTCGGCGAAGATGACGGTCATCTCAATGAGCGCCGGCAACAGTCGAAGCAGGGAACTGGCGGTGGAGTGGTTGAAAGTCAGCAACAGATTTACGTAGTACAGGCTGCTCAAACAGCAAATGATCACTGCAAAAAGTAAAGAAGTCAGTAAATTTGTTCAGTTAAAGTTCTTTATATTACTCACAAATTAACCACAGTCCCCAGCTGTGAAAGATCTCGCAGACGATCTGAATGAGCAACGCCTGAGATCGGACCTTCATCGACACGTCCGGCAACGAGCTCAAACAACAGTGGCCTGACTGTTTTTTGCAGTGTTGAACAGCCTCTCCGCTGTAGCTAGTCGATGTCCAAATGGCGGCAAAGATGCGCCAAAACTCCACCTCTCGCAGTGGATTNCAGTGGCCTGACTGTTTTTTGCAGTGTTGAACAGCCTCTCCGCTGTAGCTAGTCGATGTCCAAATGGCGGCAAAGATGCGCCAAAACTCCACCTCTCGCAGTGGATTGAAGAACTGCCATCCCTTGATGCGCCGGAACAGCTGGCTCCAAAGGTGACTGTTGACATTTTTTCGCGCAACTAACTGCTCAAAGTTCATTACCGCCAGATCGTAGATGACCGCCGCCAGCTGACGACGTTCCTTCTCGTGTTTGGAAACATTCTTATTGCGATCTATCTTGAGGTAGATTGCGTAGTTGAAGTAGGCCGCGGAGAGGGGCAGGCCGATGATGGCAATGAAGATGGTGCTGTCGGCGATGTTATTGCGGCGGAACATCGCCAGAAAGACGTCGTATTGATAAATGCTCAGCCGACCTGTGAGCAAGCAGTAGGTGACCGCCACCAGGCGACACACCTCAAAGGCGTACGTTCCAATGAGAAAGCGGTTCCAGCGGAAGTGCAGTCGCTGGCCATTGCCATTCCTTCGTTCAATGATTCGCCTGATGCTGTAGTAGTAAATTTGCCATA